CATCTGACCAGCGAATGCTCTACAGATGCAGTCTGAGCGTTGTTGCTATTTAGAGATGTATATCTGGCCTTTTTCAGAAAGGCTCGTAGCAGCTTATAGTAACAGACACAGAACCCACAAGATAAGAAACAACCATCTACTACTTTAAAACTTCATCCCACTCCACCCACTTCTGCTTCTCAGTTATCCAGGAGAGCAAACCCTTTGGCCTATCCTGAGTTTCCCAACCCCTATTCACATCCAGGTATGCAACATCTCTTCCCACTTCCCCACCCCCATCCACACTCACACCCCTGTATCACACCCAAGAGAGATCCCTTTCCCCTCTTCCAGTGTCCCTCCCAAGGCACTCTGCTCCTCTCCTGCAGAGGGGCTGTACTCCTTAAGAAGGCAGGGCACTTGGTTCCTTTCAAAAGCATGACAATTCAGTTTGTTGTTGGGCACGCTTATTTTGTATAGGCAATGCTCTCCCTCTGGATGGGTTAGTAAGTTGTTACTAAGAATTAAAACTGGTACCCGTGAATCTTTGTTCTTGAGCTGCTACTGCTTTAGCTAAAAGAGCCAGGTCTCCTAGCCAAGTTTATAGCAGACTCATTAACACCTGTAACCCAGCCATGCAGAGGAAGGGACGCACCAGGCTAGCATGGGTTTCATGTGCTGCACTGGGTCACACCAGGCTAGCATGGATTTCACGTGCCTCACTGTTCATAAAGCACTAAAATAGAACCATAGTAAAAAGGATTGTTTCCCCTGAATTGATTTTACTGCCCTAGGGTAATGATAGCACATCTGTGCAGGGTAGAAAAGAGGAATAAGAACTCCCTGTAGGCTGTGTGAGCCTTTGTACACACCACAAAATTGGCCTTTAACGCAGCTTAAATGCCTTTTTTGCACTGCTTTAATGTCGTTCCTGTTTGCACATTCAGCAGCATATTCTGCTTTAAATGACTTTGGTACTTAGCAAGATAAAACACCTCTGAGGTGTTTTAGTTTGCTACCTAAAAAAGTGCAACAGTGCATGGGGCACTGGAAGCTGGCATGCTCAGGGCTTGGTGGGACCCAGCAGCAGCCTGTGCAGGCAGGCTCCACTGAAAAAAAAAAATGGGGAACCTGATTTTTTTTTTCACTCCCCAGAGGCTGCCTGCCTGCCTAAGTTGTGTGGGGGCCTCGTGCTTCCCTCCATGGCTGCAGGGGGCCTGGTGCTTCCCTCCATGACTGTGGCACCCCTTGGGACTGCCCGGGCCAGGTGCCAGTGGGCAGGTGCCACCTGGGGGGCCCCCATGCAGTTCAGGGTCCACTTGGCCCACCAGCAGCTTGCCCCTCCTGCCCCCCCGCCCCCCAAAGATACAGGTAAGGATTGAGCCCTCACCCTTATGTACACACCATGGGGGTTTAGTTCAGTTTAATTATCCCAAAATTGAAGTGGTGTTTTTAAAAACCACTGTTTCAATTTAGGAAGAACTAAACCTAATTAAACCCCTGTGGGGTGTACAAGCAGCCTGTATGTCTTGATATTCCTCTCACTCACTGCCTCAAAAGAATTGGGTGAGGAGATGGCTGGGATGCAGCCGGGCTTGGAGGATTGTTGGGAGTGGGGTAGGTCAGTGATAACTAACCTCACCTTCCTTCTATAAAGAACAGAAGGTGGGAAACTCTGAAAAGCGCCTCCTAAATACAGTGTATTCCAAAGCTATTCTGGGTCTTGGAGATCATGCTCAATCCTGTGATAAAGGCTGAGCATAAGCTACAATTCAGGTTGTAGGAAGCAGCTTTGTAGTAGCTAGAGCTGATGAGTCAGGGAACTTTTAGGATGGGAACAAGGCTGAATCACCACTTTTTTCTGCTAGGGGGAAGTCTCTCTTTGTCAGATCTAGAGGTTCTGGTTAGTGGATGTCTGCTCTAAGTTGTTTACAAGCAAAGATGTGACCTGGCAATTTTCATACAGGAGCATACAATTATTTCCCTTGGCCCCTGCACTACTATGTAGTGTTGCTGCCATGTCAGAAGACAGATTAATAAAAAATTGATGTAGTAATGAGCTATGTTTATAAAGTACAAGATGCTGCTTCCTGCCAAAGCACATAGGGGTCCAAAAAGCCCATTAAATACGAGACCATCTCAGAAACAGAAAACAAAATCCAAACGAAGGGTCCTTGTGGGAAGAGGAAGGCTATCATATCACTCTGCAGGGCACACTTCAGAAAAAGGAGGGGTTGGATGCATTGAGCTTAAGCAATTTCATGCAGAAAGCAAGTCCTACATACTAAAACAGGAGTTTCCAAACTGTGGTACGTGTACCCTTGAGGTACGCAAGACATCTCTGGGGTGTATGCAGGAGAAATTGTGTAATGGCAGACTGAATTTTCATTATAGTAATAATTGCCATTTAAGGGGTCAAAATGTAAACCGTATACTGGTAGAGGTAGGAGGACAGCCGGTAAATCTGAAAGGGGGTATTCAATAAGAAACTCCAATGCAGGGGTTTTGGATAAAGTAGAAGTCCTCCATGTGAAGGTGTTTGGAAACTAGCGGGCCAAAATGCAATAACTGCTGTTTCACAGGAGACCAACAGCAAATGGGTAGGATGGGTATCAGAACTGCTCCTTCCTGTGAGCGTGCCTCTACTTTGGTTGTGCATGGCAACAAAATCCTTCTGAAGGGACTGCAGGAGTCAAGCCGGCCATCAGAGCACGTAGAACAGAAATGAATCAAGATGGAATTGCTGTATTTTCCAGGCTGAGAATTAAGCAGCTCATCATGTGTTGTTATCTCCTTGTGTTTATCCGAAATAGTTTCTGTGGGCACGCCTACATGTGCTCTTTAATGCACATTATCTTATTTTAATATGTATTAAAGCCTCACTAAAAAAAGTGTGCTTTCATTAATGCACATTAAGGTGTCACTAAAACTATGCTTGTTCTTAGTTAACGTGCATTAAGTTGGGCTAATCTGCATTTTCCTAGTACCTCACAATGGGTGCTTGTAGGTGTGCTACAAGGCTGCTCTAACACACCGTAATTACAGCATGTCTGAGCTAGCCTCTGTGTCTTGTGCATTAGTGACCCTGTGCTTCACAATGGTAGCAGGTGCACTTTAACTAAAGCTTGTCGAATGAGCTTTAGTTCAAGTTTCCCCACTGTCATTTTGAAGGATGGGGACACTGATATATATGACACTGCAGTGCTTTAATTAAAGCAGCTTTCAGATCCACTTTAATTAAAGTACCCCTCTGCCCCCAAAGCACGTGTAAAAGTGCCTGGTGGTGATACTAGATTAATGGTGGCACATTAAGTAAAATGCATTAATGCATGTGTAGATGGGCCCATGTACCTCCTAGCCTCAGGAGGAGCTGGACAGAAAAAAGTCTATGGACACATTCAGGCAACAAGGATTAAAATATTGAACTGATGACTTACTCAAGTCTTGCCTAGCCACAAAGTAGAGTAGGTATCTCTGAAATCAATTTAGTTAACTGGATGCCAAACTGTTTGTGGACACACATATCAAGAGAAGCTGTTTTAAATTGCAATGAGAAGATCTGCATGGCTTTAATAAAACTCATGTAAAAAAAAACCTTGCTAAAATGCTGCATTTTTTGTGTGCAGACAAGGCAACACATCACGCACAGTATGCAGTGCACAATTATTCCCAGCAAGGCAGTCCTGGTAGTTTGTGCAGCTGGCCCTTTCAGTGCATTTACAAATTTTACATTATTTTCTAGCACCATCTAGTGGATCAGATGCACCAGATCTAAGACATTATAGGCTTGCATATTTGCATATTTTTATTTAAACATAAGAAAATGGGTTTCTTTTATTATGAGCTTGAACAGCCAGTTATAAAAGCTTATTAATAACCTTTAATAGGTTTATTTGTTTTTTTTTAAGTATTTCCAATAACTGACATTACCAGGCACACAAACAACTTACCTCATATCCTGAGGTCTTACAGGCTGTTAAAGATCAGCAGCTTCCTAGTTGCTCACAAGAATACAATCAAACGTGAGCTGAAAAAAAAATCCTGAACATTTCACAACAAAAATACCTACATTTGACACAGCTCTATACTGTCCTAGTTTGGACATGAAGACTGTAAACAAAGACGCACAGCTATGTAAAGGAAAAACATTTGCTACTTTACTTTATAGAGTGTGTCACCGAGAAAACGTTTTTGTGCGTGTTTGTTTTACAGACCATACCACAATAATAAACAGAGAGTAGCTAACACAACTACAAATGACTGCAATATGTAAGCAGTTGGCAGGGGATAGCAAGCACACAGATTTGACAGCCATGAATAGGCGGAGCTGGGCAGTTTTGCGCCCTGGAGAGAAACAGCTTGCAGGGCAGCAGCCGGATAAGTGGCAGTGTCACTGAGCTGGCGGCAGCAGTAGCTGCTATTTTCTCACTTGTCCCCTTCATTATGCTGTAGTGAATATTACATGTGACCACACAAATGTCCCACAAAGCATCTCAAATATGATCTCAAGGGAGCAAGCTGCCATTGGCATGTCAAAGAACCTTGTGCCCATACCGAAGTGACTTTATAGACTGACTGAATCAGTTTCTGATCAATGCTTTCTTCTGCCTGACTTCAGACTATCATGGCTAACTATCTATCTTTGCAAAGTAAACTTTGTACAGCAAATTAATACTGAGCATGGAGGAAAGAACTGTGGTTCCTTGTGACCCACACCGATACCTTTGCAATTCCCCAGGACAGAGCCAGGGTATTATGGGGTTGATGAACTGGGCTAGAATTGGTAGCCCTTTCTTTCTCATGATTATTGACCTGCAGCTGGGGCATTGTAAAGCAAATGGCAGAACTGCACTTTAACGTCAGAGTGTGTCATGCCAAAGATATTATCATCCTGAATGCTGAACAAAAAACCCAAGCCAGCAGACATTAAAATCTCAGCTGTGTGCCACAATGAAGGGCCTAGCTTTAGACAACCAATCCTTTCTATTGGATGTGACCTTGGGCTGATATTTTTAGCTGCAACTCTGTTGGTATTTGGTTGATTTAATTTTATTTCATTTGCTTTGACTTAGAATAATGCAGCCCTTCCTCTGTCCAGGCATGCATTGGCTTCTTGGACCCATTGCATCTCCAGGACCCAAAAAGACAAAAATGGGCAAAACTGTCAGTCTCCTGCTGGACAAGAGGCTGCAGTGACTCAGTAAATATGTTTAAATTATTATTATTTGTCCTGTGAATTAGGGTGTGGGACTGCTGAGCAGAAGAGAATCCTGACCAGATTTAAGCTTTGATTTCCAGTGATTACAGGGTGCAGCAAATACTCAGGAAGAAGTGATTCAGTGCACTAAGAAACTGGCTGCTAGGAGTAGGCTGCAAAATAAACAATGAGAGCTACTAAGGGAAATGGAGGCTTCCCCACAGAGGGAGCATATGCCTAAGATTGTAAGGAAGAGATCCGTTCAGTGCTAGCTCAGTCTATGCAGGGCCTACATGGTATTTCTTTAGCTCTCCCAAAGGTGATATCGTTCGGGAAAGCCAAAGAAATAAAAAAAAAAAAAAAGAAAAAAGAAAAGAGCTTTAAAAAAAAATCTGGAGGTCAGGGTAGTTACTCTTGTGATTTCTCAAGAGTAGGCCCTGATCTTCATCATCACATAAGAAAGAGGGAAGAAAGCAGGCATGCTTTTGACCCTAAAATGAAGCTGTAATTATATATATTAATGAAAGCTCTAGGAAAGATTGTGTATTGACATTTTTTAATGCCATGAACACTCTTGGTTGTAAGGGTAGAAACTTGCATTGTATGTGTGTTTTTTACTTGGGGGGATAGCTTATTTTTTGGTCCATGTCTCCTGAGAATGTATTTTTACTTAAAAGGTGACTGTGTCATCCTCGGCGTGTGTATCGTGCCTGGCACCATTAGGATGTGCAAAAACTGAAACAGCTAAGACAGGTCAAAAAGCAGTATGTGGTTTTGCACGCTCACCAAAGCTGCTGTTAATACAGGAAACTTTTAAAGACAACAGCCCAAAGGCATGCACTGGATGGGTGGGTGGGTACACACGTATCCAGTGCAGAGGTGTGTGAGCCTAGGTGTATGCACTGGGGGTGGACGGGTATACATGTATCCAGGGCACAGTTGTGTGATCCCAGGTGCTGACCAGGTGGGTGTACGTGTGCCCAGGGCAGAGGCATATATGCTCAGATCCATGCACTAGGGGCGGGCAGGTGTGTGTATACCCAGTGCAGAGACATGTGCTCTTAGGTGCGTACACTGAGCAGGTGGGTGTGCATACATCAAGTACAGAGGCATGTGCACTCAGATGCATGCACCAGGGAGGTAGGTGTGTATGAGCCCAGTGCAGAGATGTGTGAACCCAGATCCATGCACTGGGGGAGGGGGGTGGGGAGAAGTGTACGTCTATCCAGTGCAGAGGTGTGTGAGCCCAGGCGTGTGCATGTGTATCCAGTGCAGAGGTGTGTGTGCCTAGATGCATGGACTGGGGAGCCGTATGTGTGTGTACCCAGTGCAGAGGCCTGTGCACCTAGATGCATGCACCGGGGGCAGGCAGGTGCGCATGTACCCAGTGCAGAAGTGTGGCTATCCAGGTACATGCATACAGAAGGTAAGCATGCATTTGTGCCCAGTGGAGAGGTGTGTGTGCCCAGATGCCTGCATCAGGAGGTAGTTCGCTGGGTACCCAGCCAAGAGGTGTGTGCTCCTGAATGAGTGCGCAGGGGAGCTGGGTGTGCACATGCCCCATGCAGAGACTTGTGTGCCCAGACCCATGCAGTGGGGGCAGGCAGGTATACACGCACCCAGTGCAGAAGCACATACATAGGGAATGGGGCTGGGTGCACGTATACTCAGGGCAGAGGTGTGTACACCAAGCAGGTTGGTGCGCATGTACCCAGGGCAGAGGTGTGGGTGCTCAGGTCCATGTGCCCAGGGGAACTCTAGGGGTGGGTGTGCTGGAAGGATCCTGCCTGCCCATCCACCTATGCTTACCTCTGCCTGCTGGAAGGCATCGGTGGTGTAGGTGCCACCACCACGGTAGGCGATGGTGGCTGAGTAGAACTGCTGATCTAGGAATCATTCTTCTTTGTCATGGGTTCTGTTTACCATTAGAGAGAGATCCTTTCTGACACTTGGTCTGCAGATTCAAGCTTCGGCTTTGACCGTCTTTGAAATCGTCACCCAGTCATATGAGGCTATTGGTGCTGTATTTAAGTTACTACATTTAGCAGATATAACTTATTACATACCAAGATAAATGCAATTTAATTGCTTTTCTGAGTAGAACAGCTCTTTAAATTGGTTTTATTGTCTATTACAAATTGATGTATGCTTAATAGATATTTACACTCATATACTGGGCTAATAGTCATGGATGGCATCAAAACATTATCAGTTAAATCCACAGTGTCTAACTCCTAGCACAGCTCCCTCATTATATTCAAGCAACCAGCTGATACTAGTGCAACTTTATTAAAAACAATGGATTTCTATCACTATACTTTCAAACGGGTTTTTGAAAGTTATTAAAAGTTTTAAGTTATTCTGTTTTCTTATTGTAAGCCACCCTGAGCCTTTGTTGGGAAGGCTTATATATTTGCTTATATCAAATAAATAAATAAATAACATAGGACTTGGCCTTTGATTTGAACGAGAGCTGAAAAGGAGACACTGGCATGGTGAAACCAATTGCCATATGGCATATTTGTGAACACTTCCAGCATATTGGAACCCCTGTGTCCCTTCTGAATACTTACATTTGTGTTTCATTTCTGCTCTTGGTTCTACAGTTGGTACAAGGAGGGGAATACAGCAACTGAACATAAGCACCTTGCTTCTACTTTCAGGGCCCTTCACTGACTCTTGCCGCCTGACTTACCACCCCCCATTCAGAGGGTCCCTTTCTTCATTTGCTTTGTACCTAGCACAAAGGCATTGTGAGCCATAACAAGGGTCCTAGGTGCTACTGTCATACAAAATGGTAATAATAAATAATACTGCTCTCAGAAAGTGAGATTTCCTTTACAAGATGTTTTTTCTAAGAGCAGCAAAGTCTTCTGTTATCCTCCGTTGGTTCTTTTAACCTAAATGGAAATCTTTTCAATGCTACATGTAAGTCTTGCATTGCAGGTGCAAGGCAGAGAGAATGACAAGGATGGGATATGTCAAGCATGTGTTCCACTTGTTCAAAGCTCCTGCTGGAGGAAATACTTGAAAAGGAAAACTACTGCAAAGGGGGTTCTCTTGGGGATTACCTGTTTTATGTTACACAAATACAAAGACTGCCAGCTATTCAAGCATTCCTGAGCTGTGATATCCACTCAGTGTTGGTAATGCAAAGGAGAGAAATATCTCTTCTGGCTATAAGCACCAGGATTTGGATTTCCGGACAGAAAAAGCAGATTGTATTTTGGAAGGTCAGTGCTGCCATTTATCCGCTCCCTAGAAAGCATTTAAAAGTCACCTCAGTTAGAAGGAAATACCTAGGTGCCCTTTCCCCCCCCCCCCCTTTCAGGGGTTGGGAGTGAAAGGAGTGGGGTTTTTCAGCCCTATTCAGGTACTTACATTCATGTACTTATGCTTCTTGGCTAGGGACAGACAGTCAAAAAGCCTGAGCCTATATTGATTCAATCTTTGCAGGTTAGTCAACTTGGGTAGGCTAAATCCACTTTGCAACCAGACAGACATCCTAGAAATTCAGGCACATGCCTGCAGTAGCTCAGGCTAGAAACTGGGGGATGCTAGAACAGCCCTCCCTTCCCTTTCACAGTACTGAGCTGAGGGAGGGGGTGGGGGTGGCCAGGCCTGCAGGATGCTCTGATTAGCCAGGCAGGTAATTGATAACAGCGTTTATCACCCCTAACTCAGTGTTCAGGTTGCTCTGCTGTATACCAGAGACTTGTCTCCTGTCTGGATAGGGGCAGATTGAAGGTGGGGGAGGGAGGGAGAGGGATGGAGTGGTGCAGTGGTATAGTTGCACCCCACTTTGATTCCCGCTCCACCAGAAGTTTAAAACAAACTGCCAGGCAGTGGAAGCAGTGCGAGACTCAACTTCATGTCTCATTATAATCTATCTGATTCCTTCTAAACACTTCATTCCACAGGTGTTAACAATCCTCTCTCCCTTTTAATGGTCTCAATGTTCCATTAATCAAGCTCTACTTTCTTCAGCAATTTTGCTGTTAGCAGCTACTGGTAATGTTAGCTCTATTTTACAGCCCTGCAGACTATTTTCTAACTCTGGCTAAAAACATTAACTGAGTTGTGGAAACATTAACTTGGGTGAACGTTAATTCAGGTATGGAAATAACTTTCAGTGAAGCACTGGATGCACTGTCAAGGTGTTATATGTGATGATGCACCCACCATCTCCACCCCCTTTTTCAAAAACCTGGATTCACCCATGTGTCTGGACATCCCAGGATCTAGCAGAAGAGGATGCAGCTTGTTTCAGTGTTTCCAACTTGAGTGCCTTTATAATGAATATATTGTAATCTATGAAGTTATTCCTAAAGCTCCTGGAGCTTCATGATGAGTGAGAATGTCTGATTTCATTACATGCAAAAGGTACGATTTTAGGCCTCATGGTTGTGGGGTAGAATCTAGAAAATATGAGCTCAGTGCCCCTTACAGACTCAAAACTCAAGAAGCAAAGAAAGGAAGCCAGTATCCCAGGGGTGGGCAATTATTTCAGCTGGAGGGCCACTTAAGTTTTGGTGAGGTGTTAAGGGCTGCATACACAATTTTTTTTAAGAAGATATAATTTTAACAAATTATAGATAAAAATAAATGATATACTAAAAATCAAATCTATACTATAACATATTTTAATTTTATTTAAATCCTCCCCCCCATTTATGGTTTTTAGTAGTGTGTATAGAGGTGATTATAATAGCTCAAAATAAAGCTTACTCTTGTAGACTGGGTGGGGGCTGCATGTTGGTGTGGAGGTACATGTGTGTGGGGGGGGACTGCCTGTGCACTAGGTTCCAGAAGCTGGCTGGTGGTAGGAGGAGAAGTGAGGGCAGGTGGCACATGCAGCAGAGCTCCCTAGGGACAAAGGAAGTGCAGGTGTGGCCTGCCCCCACCAGCCAGCCTGCAGCTGCCCACACAGCACCCCTTATGGGGCTGAGCCCTGCCCACTCCTGCCTGGAGCAGCCTGCACCATGTATCCACCTGCACCTGCT